AACAACTAAATGTGACTTTGATAACTTTAAAAAAAAATTTAACCACAAAACGTACACTGCAATTAGCCTGTAGACTAAACCAAGGTATCTAAAAAAAAAAAAAAGAATTTGTATTGGTCCAGTAGTAACATAAATAATTAAAATGATCAAGTATAGTAAAATGCTTTATCCTTCAAAATAGTACCTACGTTCTTTATTATTATCTCCCTTTTGTTCTAGCTGTTATACTTTTCCTTTTGCAGTTGTTCCATTTCACACTTTGCCGATTAGCTATCGTCCATGGAATCTCGAACGTTTCCATTGTCCACGAAATAACTTCAAGACGTAAGAAAGTATCAGCCCGTGAACTTTTCCCCTGGTGCCACCAACGCGCTCGTTTAATGCTGTAAAATTGCCCCGATGTAGTTCTAGGATGGCAGAGCATCGAGGACATGGCTAAACCGACGTACAATTTATTGGGTCAATTCCGCGGCGCGGAAGGAGCATGGATATCGGTGAGAAAATCGATAACAAACGGGTCTCTCAGACGGTTTCTCGTTTTCTGAAATACAGGAGGAAATTTCATTTGACCCGTTAGCCGCGCACAGCGCAAAACCAGCGAAACTTTTTCAACGACTCGGACTAATTTTTCCCTTCACTTTCCCTTCCCTCCCACGAGCTACGCTGTCCTTTTTCCCGCCGAAGAAAATACATTTCGTCGGCTGCTCCGTTGCTCACGAAAAGTCGTGAAACTTGAACGCCTGACGTTTCACTTAAATCTGAGCGGGAATTATGAAGCTGAGAGTGGAACCTCCGGAAAAAACAACGGAAAGGTTGAATTACTAAAAAAGAAAAGAAAAATTAATTATCATTTAGTTAATTCCTATTTTATATGCTTTTGCGAAGGATTAATATTCAATAATGTCGACGACGAGGTAATTTAACCGTGTAGTTGAAAACAACGGATTCGAAACGAGATATCGTTTCATATTTCTCTCGTAAATGCAACATTTCGGAACGGTGGACGCAATAAACTACAATTTTCCGTTAATTCAGCGCACCGCGCTTGCTATGGCCCAAGTATTCTTCCTCGTGTATTTGAGTACCAGAAATAAACACGTCCAACCACCCAGCAAAGTCTCCTCCGCGCTTATTAAATACTTATAAAATATCTTTTAACGATAAGAAATATCTGAAAACAGAAAGAAAATGATTCGAGAGTAGTCCACAGTGGGGAAGAATAATGGAGGAAAAAAGTTTGGCGAAAGAAAAGAGAAGCCGTAGAATGAAATAAACAGCGCAGACCTTCTTGAATCGTCGGTTAAAAATAGAACGTAACTGTGTTTCAACGTAGGATCCATTAATTTGCGTAAATCCCTGTCGAAGCATTCGCGAATAATGGCCGCCGCTTTTGTAGCTTTCGCTTCTCTTTCCTTTTCGTACGACGCATGATTCGACGGCGAAAATAGCAAGCTGCGTAGAAAAAAAAAATGGAGAAAGAGGAAGGTACTACTAGTTAACGTCTAGTTGCTCCCTGATGCAGCAAACGCGAATCGAATCGCTCGTATAACGTTGAAAGTATTCGACCCCCCTTTTACCAATACGTAAACTCGAACGACACGCCGAGAGAGAGACACCGTTTTCAACAGAAGCATTTCGATATTGTGTTCGAGTGTGGCGTCGAGGGCCCGTCTTTAGTTATGGCGCGTTAGTTACGCAATGCTTACGTAGCGATAAATTATACCTTGGCGAAGAGAGCGTAGAGACGCGAGAGTTTTTCATTAAACGAATTTATTCTCACGATTGCGCGTAGAATCGTACCAGATTCGAGTTGAGCTGATTTTTTTCCATAATTTTTAAGATGATTTCGGATTATACTGCGTGGTCTATCAGTCGATTTCATCCAACGAAGCGTTCGAAATATCTTCGTGGACAGAGTCGATAAATTCGTCAAAGCCAGCCTAAAATAACATGTCCCTGAAAAAGTGAAGCGAAATATTGGGTTCTTTTTTTGGCCGGAAAATCGGTTTCGAGGTGTATTGTACGGAGTGTATTCTACGGCAAATATTAGTTTGCAACGTGTGGCAACTTAAACGTTCTTTTGTAACGAAATTTTCTGTGATAAATGCGACTTGATAATTCGATTAGAACGAAGAACGCGTTATTCGACTTTGGTTGCTTTCCATTCGCTTTTTGTCGCTTCATTTTGAATTAGATCTTGAAATACGATAAAGAAATTTGTAACGTACCATTGAGAAAGAGATAAACGTGAACTTTGACATCTTGGACTATTCTACTCTACCTTTTCGTTCACCCAAGGTATATCCAGAAGCCTAGCAACTTCACTGTTTTCCTCTCGTTAATTCCTTCCAACTGCGTTTACCATTCGTCCAGTCAGCACAGTCGAGAAAGTCTCCAAATGAAGGATAATACCGATGAAAATAATCAATAAGTATCTCTCCGCGTCGCTTCCTTCCAAGTCTTAAATACAACTCCTTAATTAAAAGTCTTGGGCGGTATTAGTTTCCAATTAATCACGGTACGTTAACTTACATCGTTACCCACTTTTAACCAGTCAAATTTTCAACGACGATTTATCAGTAACTTCTACCGAACATTCCTTAATTACGCGCCAACAACAAATTTCGATCATCCAAACAATATTCCTTCCTTGTTACATACATATGTACATGAGATTTAGTAATTCAGGTTAAGCTCGATCGTAAACGAAAGTGGCACCATATCGTCGATAAAACAGTGTCTAAACTTTGATGGCTGGTTGCCAAACCGATCAGCAACCGATCCTTTTCTGGGAACATCACATTCCGATGAATTATACGATTACCTTTCCAAGCATATGCTGCACCGTTTTCACGTATTCACACGTATCGTAACCGCGATGCCAACGGCTGACGTTAAACTTGCCTCTATTGAGATCCGCGAGGGTCCACGTATTACCATTCGCCTTATTTGCTCAGGCCTGGTGGTTCTCCTTTCAATTCCGCATCAACCAGGATATAATCCCGCGATATATGAGTGTCATTTGTAACTTGTAATCTCGCGCGATATGTTCGACATAATTCAGAATTAGGCCTGTTCCGTAGTTACGTAATGTTTCATAGGTTGTACGGCCGAGAAAACGGGGAATGTATGAACGTCAGAGAACAATGCTCGTATTCATGGTAACCATAATTTTCCTGTCTAAAGTCTCACATGGTAACACAGGGACTACGGTTCAATGGTACGAGTGTTACAACAAAACGTCGAGTAACTCGAAGTGGGCGTGAAATATGCTTGCAATTTGTTTCGTTGAGTGGTAAACGCAGGCGCCATTCAACAGAATAATTACGTTGTAGATGATAGAAAATGTTAGGAGAATTTTAAATGTACGTTTTAAATATTGATTATGATATTGTATATCGACGAAATTGCTTTTTTTGTCGTTCAACTGTACGGTTTTAGTGTGCAAACATAACGTATGTTTGCATCCGACATTCTATGAAGGGTTCGTCCACAACGAACCCCTCGAATCAATTATCATTTCATTCGGAGGAAATTACCGATAATTCTAATGCCTGTCGGATTAGGGATCGATTTTCCAAAAAAGCGCAAAAATTTTCATGAGTCGACGTAAGCGGCTTAGCGGCGTGCGTTCACGGCAGCTGTCTGACCGATCTATCGAAAACCCATCTCTTTATATATATTGTTCATAGCACGAGCATTAATCCGGTAAATACGGAAATTATCCGAGAAGGGCTCTACTAAAGGCAGAAAAGGGCGCAAGCACGGTAACGTGTAATCATTTACTCAGGTAGGGTGGACATTTTGCAAATTCGAAATAATACGACGTATCACTGCTTCGTTCGTAAATATTCCATGTCACAAATTATTTTGAAATTATTCGAAGATAATTAAATGTCAATGTTAATTTTATAAATATTACAATTTGAATAAACACAACAATTGATACAATGTTACCAGCACATGTCGAATGGTTATTTTAAATTACAATCGTTGCAGATATGTAAATTAAGTAAAAGTTTCTTACCTTATCCCATGGACTGTCGCAATGGTTGACTATGCAATTTTCTACAAGTGGTATTATACTTCCTTCTTTCGTCTTGGAGTGATGAAATCACAATAAGAAACACTTCAGAATTTTTTATTTATTAATACACGCATTGCTAATTAGATTAATGCACTTAGATTTGTTTAAAATGCACTCAAAATTATGACATGTAACTTGTCACGTACTCGTTCAATTACTAACTACTACTGTAGTCAAACCACACAGGAAGTTACCAAAAATGATCATATCAGCTTATGGTAATAAAACATAAATTATTGATATTTTTATCAATTTAAGGTTTCTTAAATCCCTGTTTTAACTACAGAACTACATACGCAACAGTCGGTCAAGTCAACTTCTAGAAAGTTCTAGAAATTACAAACTTATTCAAATGCAAGATAACGTAAATTAGAATGAACTATTTAAATACCAAATTTATTCTATTGAATTTACAGATCAAAGTCGCACGTTACAAAGAAATATTTGCCACAATGTAAATACTTGAAGAATATGTTTTTAACAGTTTCTCAAAAGTAAAAAAAGAATTTTTCTTTGCTCAACTACCTATGCGCAGAAACTCACATTCCATCTTCTAAAAACAAATACATGTATTTTCAAACTCACTTGTGTAACAGTATTGGCCAATGAGATCGCGGTATCGGCGGTAACCGTAAACTGCATAGAAAGATCTCGAATCCATTTGGATTATTTGAAAATCATATTTAAAGTAAAATTATTTCACGTGTCAGAAATAATTTTAAAAGCTTGAGTCAGATTCTGACCCAAGCGATATAAATTTTCATGTGTGGGTCGATTGTTGGAAATAAGATTGGTGGGGATTTGAAGAAACGAACTAAATCGAGCGAGAAAAGCCGAACGTTGCCGATTCATCGCTCGAGCGTACTCGGCGTCTGACCCGAACTACATTCGTTCTTGTTCTTGGATAGTGTTAGCATCGTGTCTGTTATTTAGTGTTTTTTCTTATTATCGTGTGAATAAACATATACATTTAAGTGACACGTAGTAACGTACTTACCTACTATCGGTTACGAAAAAAGAAATAAGTATGGCGGTAACGAGCGATGCTATGTATAACGCAGGAACCATCGTTCCATCGTTTATGTCGACAAACATATACTACGGTTACGTGCCGCATTGTAAAAGAGAAAATCAACGCAACGCTGCGTGCGAGCATGCCGAAATTTCGAAACCATTGCTGTTCGATTGTTGTTCGTATGATACAGCTATGGAAACCGATGATGACGGATGTGGTTATTCTACGGTGTCAGGCCGTTTGAATAACGATTACGTGATGCTGGAAGCATCAGTACAGAAACGATTAAAAACAAACGACAAACTACAACAATGTCAACAACAGACAGCATACAACGCGGATACGCTTCGACACAGGAACCGGAAGCGATGCAACAGTGATCTCAGCCCCACAAGCCAACTGAAAAAGTTTCGGGAAGGTAGGAGAGGATTTATAATTATATATTTTTGTTTATTTTTTATGCGAGGAGTAAATAACTATATTGGAATTGGCTAATTGCGAAAATGTTTTCCAAGTCCGCGACCTCGTTAATTCATATTCGTATATGCTTCAAATAGATCTTGTTAGAGGTCGTTTCTTCCTTCCTTTCGTTTGAGCGGGAGAATTTTTAAGCGCGGGAAAATGTTTATCGTATCAAAATCGTTGTATTTTTTTGTCGACCAGTAGGATGTTTAGAACAATATCTTTTAAATGCGCAATTTTAAAAAGAAAATTAAACGAAGGAAACTTCGTTTAAACAATAAAAGCTTTACTTTTATTTAATATTTCTTCTGTATTGTACCCGTTAATAATGGATATTTAAATATATGAATGTTCAATTTTCCCTTCTGTGGGAGAAAGGTTGTATATTTACATGTGACCACAGAGATTTTCATCCGATCCTGGCATTAAATTTATTTTGAAGCTTAATGCATCCTGTCATCTTCTGTACCATGGATAATGGTATATAATGGAAAGCATGGATGCTAATATTTTTTCATAAACTAATGACACTTAGTAAGTTTGGTCTTTTTTTGATGGTAAGGACACAATATGCTGAAAAAGTGGATGACATAGGAGATATGCAATTAAATTAATAGTTAAGGCAGTGGGTTTCCTTTCAGAGGCAGTGGTAAGGACCACGTACACTATGGTACAGGAAGTACAAAGGACTATGGATTGGCTACTGTGTCTTGTGAATCTGAGGCTTTACATGTAAATACTGCCAACAATATTCTGCAAGAATCTATGATTACAAATGAGAGCTGCTGCTGGACAGCAGGTAATCATAATCTGTTATATAATTCAGAATGTAAACAGTTATTGTCCAGTAATGAACATAAATCAATTGAAAACAGTGTTGAATATGAAAAGATTTTATTTGAAACACATGGGTGCTCGATATACCAGTTCCATCGATTGCAACTGGTTGATAATGACTGTAATGAGACAGAATTTTAAACAACTGACAATCATTTATAATGTTTATATTTTTTGTATTTGTATCACAAAGCATACATTCATTATGCACTTATACAAGTCATTATATTGTATTATATAGTTAAAAATAAATACTTACTTTTCTAAGTTACAATTTTTATTGTGATCAAACCAATGCAGATTAAGTAAAAACATTTTATATTAGGTGTTTTACACTTCTAGCTGTGTTAATAACACTCAGAGAAGTATTTAAGTTAATGATTAAATATAACATAGAAAAAAGTTATAATTCCATCTGGCATTAAGAGATATAAAGCTGTTGAAAACATCACACATTCCATTAAAAAATATATGATAAATACAAAATATACGTTTAATTATGTATGCAACTAAAAATGCTTTTTAAAGTAATTCAATATCAAAATATCATTGCATTGTCTTCATTTCTCTCATCTTCAGTTTTAGTAGCTAAACTTTCTAAATCTCCTTGACCATTAAATCTTGCTTGTGCAAATACAGTGTGACCAGCTGCTTCACCTAGACCTTGTTCATTATCTTCTTCATTCTCAAGAGACTACATAATCATATATTAATTACAATTTTTTATATTTAATCAAACATTTATAGTCTAAATATATGTTGAAAGTACCTGTTGATTACCAGAAGATTCAGGTCTTGATTGATCTGCTTCAGCCAGATCTTCATTGTAGCCTGGTTTAATAGATGTTGAAGGGAGAGCAATTGCAGAATCAGCTAAAGATGGTTCCTATAAAATATATAAGAAATATAAAATAATAACGTCCTTAAATATCTAACAATGTATTATGGCTGATAGAACTTACTGGCATATCCAAATGATCTATTAATGGTACATGTGCAGTAGGAGATGATGAAGTTCCTGCTTGAGATGATGTAACTAATTCTCCTATAGATTGATGATCTCTACTCATACCTAATGTTACATCTATCTCTGAGTCTTCGTCACTAGATTGACAACTTTCGCTGGCAGTTAGATCAGTTCTTTCATTCTGTAAAAAATTTTAAGAAATATATACAAAGGATAAGGATTATTTGATGTATTTGAGCCTAAATATATGCTGTAAATATACAAACCAATGGATTGCTTAAGGTTTGTGTAACTTGTAAAGCACGCAGCGATCTCCATAAACGAGGTCGCAATCTATGATCGTCGCTTATTGCTGTGATTTCCCTTAATATCATCACTAGATAGTCGGGCCGTTTTTTATTTACAGAAATGAGTGAACTTAGTGCTTCCTTCATTTCAAGACTATATAATAAAGTTTATAGAAAATTTATGTACTTGTAATCATTGTAGTCTAAAAGGAAATGGTTCAAAGTTAGATGATTAGAAAAAGTGTACCTTAAATTCTGAAATGGGTTGTCATCATTTATTACTGATTGTAATCGAAATGATGAATGTGCTTCTTCCCAAAGATTATCAACCTGTTGTTGAGATACATCATTTGTTAAATTATTACTACGAACAACAGTGTTCTCTCTTTCTTGCTGTTGCAAATTTGATTGTAATTGCAAATTTAAAGAATACTGTGTCTCTACACCATTTAATGAAGGTAAAGACATATCAGCTCCTTGATCCCGATTGCGTTTGTCTTTCCTTTGATTAAAATATAATATGTTGATATATAAATTTCATTTGTGTATATCTGTGCTAAATAGTTTATATAATTACATACATAAGAGTAGTATTAACACTGGCTATAGCATTTCCAGATGTTGCATTTGCAACAGCTCCTGATGTAGTATCAGTCATTGTTTTTGCACTTCCTGAGAGTAGGTTTTGTCTGGAATAACTGAAAATGCAAAAAAAGACATGTTTATTTGCAAGTTCAAATGTCACATTATGTTCAAGCTACTCATACCATGCTTGAGAAGATGAAATAAATGATACTGTTAAGATCGGAAAAGATATTTTTTTAATGCATAGTCTGTAAAAATTAAGTAAAACACAACACGTGTCATAGAAGGAAACAGAAGCTGTGGTTACTGTTGATTGAGCATATGTTGTTAGTCAAAATAAAAATGTGTCAAATATATGTATTTTTAAACACATACTACATACCCGTAATTTACGTACCAATATACTATCCTCATTTAGATTCATATTCACTAACCATTAGTCTATAGAACCAAATCATTACAGGTTTTATGTGCGATATGGCTTAAACGAGGGTAGTAATAAGTAAGAAGTACAAGACAAAAAGTGCACAGATAGACCGTGAAGTTTATTACATTATGCAATGATACATTAGGTTTACACAAAAATGGGAGATGGATGTGCACGATCTATTGTTTATAAAATACCTAAACTCATAAAAAACTTATTTCTTTCTAATAATATGTCCAATTGAAAAGAAATCTGTAAAACTCAATTTTATAAATCATAAAACAAATCATATTTTGTAATTTTATCAAGTACATTTTTGCATTAAATGATTACATGATGAAGAATCTTAAATTGATGTATGATATCGTTGTATCAATGTAGATAACACTTCCACTGTTCTAGGACAAATAATAAGATTCGTGTGAGTATAACAAACAGGTATATTTTATTACCTTCTGAAATTGTCCCAGTAGTTGTTTGCTCTATTCCCAGGAGGAACTTGATTATTCAATTGCTGCTGTTGATGTTGAGAATTAACAGAAGCCACTGCTGCACTATGAGATAATGCAGGAGAAGAGTTTGGCAATGACACCAAATTTGGTAGCGAAGAACTTGGTGGTAACGCAGAATCTAATGTTTCGCCAAGCTGATGAATGTTACGGGTTAAGTTAGAATATTCATCATTATTCTCACTGGTGTTTCGCTGCTGCAATTGTATTTGTCTCAAATGAGTTTGTAATTGATTAATGGCTGTGCGCATAGCTTGCTGTTCACGTTGTTGAGCCCATAAGAGTTGACAACATTGTTGTATTGTAGTACCCATCATTTGAAGTTGTTGTGCTTGAGATCCTAACAGCAATTGTCGATAATACTCAGCTGAACCTAAACAAGGTATTTGGAGCTTATTGTATTTTATAAACGATATATACAAATTTGTTTGATTATTTATGTTTTACCATGTTGTAACTGAGTTAACGGAGGCGGTGGATACGTCCACCAATTTCCATTGAATCCGTTTTCAATTGCCGTTGTTTGGGGACCGATATCCATTAAATTTTCTGATACGCTATCTGCGCTTTGACTGTTAGATCCTCCTGTACATAAAAAAAAAAACAATTAAAGTCACTCATATGATATGAATAAAATATATTTCAATTACCTATCGCTGTAGGAGCTGACCAAACGTTAGCAGGAGTGCTTGTATGACTAATATGTGAACTAGAACTTCGATGGCTACTTAAATCAGTTGGCCCACCCATATCACGATTGACACTAGATGATTGAGATGAGTCCTATTTTTTTGATTAAGTATGAATAACATAAACATGGTATATTATTTATATACGGAGAAATATAAAATAAATACCTTCCGCATAATGTCCTCAATTTGACGCTTTTTTTCTTGAGTAGGCTGAATCTCAGAAGTGCTGTTATTACTTTGCTTTTTTTCGGAACAAGATGATGTTGTCAATGATGGGGGAGGGGTTGATGTTGGAAACACAGATGTAGAATTAGACTGCATTGCCGTTAATGGTTGTTTTAATCGTTGTAATTCTGCCCTAGTTGTTTGTAACAAAGCTGATTGTTCCCGAAGTTCTCGCGTGACAGCCTATGAAGTAAACAGATATTATAAAGGTACAATATAATATACAGCTTTTAATAGCGTTTAGATTTGCACCTGAATTTCTTCAATAGTTGGTCTGTCTCCAGTGTTTCTGATTTTTTCGTGACTAATGTCATCAGTATCGCTTTGACGATCAAATGAAATATTCGTTCCATTTTCATCTTCATTTGCATCCATATCACCTGCAGCTTCACCATTCATATCTACCTCCGCTTCGGCATTCGAGTTAGAATCGAGACATTCACGTACTCGTGTTGCTTCTTCCATTAATGATTTCAAATGAGCAAGTTGTGCTTTCATAGCTTCTAATTCAGCTGCTTTGTCTCTTCCGAAGCTTCTAGAACCTTCAGAACTCTAAAATATAAAAATTATAATAATATATGCTATTTGTAATTGCATAAAATTAATGTAAAGAATAGTATACTAACACAACTGCCCCTATCAGACATCTCCACAGCATGTAATTCTGCTACAAGGTGATCCACATTTTTTTTCTTTGCTTCAAGTTGAGCTAATTTTCCTCGAAGTGCAGCTGCTTCAGATTCAAGTTGTTCAACATTCACGGGTAGCGGTAGAGGTAAACTAACAGGAGGTTGATTTTCTTGCTGTAAAAGAGCTTGTTGAGCTTCACGTGCTTCGTTCAATCTTTCTCTAACACGTAATTGCATTCCAACTAAGCTAGCTTGATGTTCCTGCAGTTGAGCAAGTTTTCTTTGCGAATCTTCCATTTTTTTACGCAGTTGCATCTCCCTACTTACATCGCCATTTTCTTCTACATCCTCTGTACTGTTTTCACCATTCTAAAAGAAAGATAATTGAACAATTTTACATTTAGTGAATTTGTGATTAAGTGAAATAAATTCACTATGTATAGATGTATGTATAATTTGTAGATTATAATTAAATAAGAAATGAAAGAAGCATGCAAGAATTATATGCAGTTTTCAAACAGTTAGTAAATAATAATTTTGTAAGTCCGGTAACCTCGCAAAATATCCCACTATTTTGATATTGTTCCAAGAGTTTAGTTAGTTTTCTTTCACTGTCTTGAAGATCCTCCACCATTCTACTTAACTTCTCACTTTGAGCTGGTGCACGCTACAGGGTAATTGCATAGAGATGTAAATATGGAAAGAACTTACTAGTATGAAAGACAAAAAGTCTTGGTGTTATGATTAATTTTTTGCACACTTACTGGATCACTGGACTGGTTAAGTGTATCCATCATAGTTGATGTATCTCTGATATAATCTCTAATTTGATTTAAACGAGATTCTACTTGGCTCCTGTCAGGCTGTAATAAATCAAACAGAGACTAGATTTGTATCTTAATAAAACAAATATAAGTAACTTGAAGAGTTGATTACTATAAAATGTGTATTACCATTTTCTCAACATTGGAAGGTTTTGTTCCTTGAAGTCTTGGAGGAGATTGAGTTTGGGAGTCAGTAGGTGGTACCATTTTTTGCCAATGTGTAAATTTCTCTACACTGTAATTATATGGTCGTCCAAAACTAAATGATACTAACATAATAATATTTTTTTAATTATTAACAAACACACTACAAAAATAAAAAAAGATAAATTAAATATATACCAAATTCAGGTATGTCTTGATAAGATGTGGATGGTACTGAAGAGACTGATTTTGTATTACTATCCTTTGTTATCCTTAGATGTTCCCTTTCACTAACTGGTTTCCAATCCAACTGATACTATCAGGTGTAATTTATAAAATAACAAATTAATTAGATACACAGATAAATGACAGTGATTTTTAGAAATGATGAGTGAAATACTGCAACTCTACTGCCTCGAGGTAGGATTGTATCTGGATATGTATTCTTAGAGAGAACTTCCCCACTATTCAGCTATCTATTAATAGATTATCTTTTAAACTACTATATACAGATTGCTGTGTAAAGTTTTCCTTTAGAAAGTTCAAGTTACATCAAATATAATAATATGTTATTTTTGATTTTCTATGATGCTTAATTCTATTTAACAATAAAACATCTTCCATACTTTTAAATAAAAATACATAGATTATGATACTATAAAATTACTTAAACTTATTTGAATTTATCCTTGAAATATTTTATTTTGTAAGAAACATTGTAATATGGAACATTTTACATATTAACATATTAAAAATAAAAATATCATTTATATTCTTTTTATGAGTTTACCAAATTGTTAGAGTGCTGTGCATGTCCATGATAAGTAGAACGGTTTGCAAATTGATTAGCAGCTGATCGTTCCCTATTTCTATCATTTCTTCTATTGCTTTTTGGAAGTGTGCCTGTGTTGCGTGGACCATCGTTAACACCCGGCAACATGTTCTTTGCACGGAATATTGTTACACTCTTGAAAAAGTATCTCTTTGTTCGTTGGCTTTTCACAGTTAACCTCGCTGCACAATTTTTGTCGCAAAGCGATTTTAAAGAAATGTGATTTTGTACGAATAGAAAGGTGTCATTTACCTGCAAATATTATAGAGCCGATCGTGCGAGAAGATGCATTTCAAATAACTAATACACGACTGACTCAGAAATTGTTTCGACAAATTTTATGTGCGAGACGGAAGTGTAAATGTATGAATTGGTATTCACGAGGCTCTTACGTCAAAATACTTGGCAGGCTAATAAAAAGAATTAGTTACTATAAATAAGTTAGGCCATTGACGCATTTACTATGATGATTATAAGAATATATCGATTGTAATTTCAAAACACTCTCAATTGCTTCGTTGCTGCGGCCATTTTTAAATACTTGTTTGACATGTTGTTTAGTTAAACATGATTCACATTAACAACATCAAACATGTAAACAAACTGTTAAAAAATGATTTATGCGAAATTAATTATTCGCAATAATTTTTCATATTACCATAAACCCCTTTAAAGTTCTCCCTTAATTTATATATATAATATGTATCTTGAAATAGAATGTTAAAACTATTGGTTAGTACTCAATGCAAAAAAGAAAAACACATTATTTCCTTTTTATTCAAAATATCGTTTATTATCAAATATTTTTTGTCTGTAATACACAATTGTAGTACATCATATTTTATTCTCTTTGAAAATGATGGTTAATTCGCTAAGCTAATATTAATATTTGCTAAAAAATGTACACATTGTTACTATTCTATAGTAAAAATTTAAAAAATGTTTACACCGAATCCGCAATACCGATACGCCAATAAAACGCAATGCATTTTAGTTGCATGAAAATACTTGCGTCATCATAGATAGCGCTTGCACTGGTATGTGGCGACATCTCGCAACAAGAGGAAAATTAATCTGAGCGCATGGTGCCATGACACTTGCAGAGGGACGCTGTTTCGCGCCTATGGCCTGAGGGGTTAATAATAAATAACCGATTCCGTCACATGTACATTACTTCTACGTGCTTTACATCTAGTCTTTAGAATCTAGGCAGCGCCTATGACAGACGACGTAGATCTCGATAGTGTCGCATACGCGGCTTGCGTTTCCTCGAAATATCGCCTGAGAGCTACCGATTCGTGCAGATCTCTGAAACGTTTCAAAAAGAAAGAAAAAGTCAAAGATTGAGAGTACGGATAACCGGGTCCGCTGCATCGACGCTGACAATCGGTTGATCCTAGCCAGATACCGTATGTTCTCGTTAAAGCTCAGTGCGAGGCTGTACGTTTCCTTGCACATCGTTCTACCCGGATGCGGAACGGGTGTGTACTAGTGGTTACGTTTTGTGTATAAGTGTATGCTGTGTAATTTTCTTGGAGTTTATTTGGATTTATCCTCTGACGCTGTGAAATGCTGACAAGCTGGCAACATGCGTACGGCAGCATAGTTGATACGGACACACGGCTCATTATCTGTAAGTATTATTTTCCTCAGCAAAATTTCATTCTCTTATTGTAATGAATAGAAAATATTGGAGGTTATATTATATACGATCAACCTTTGACATTCACGTAGAACAAATTATGGCTACTATGTAAACTCACGCTGTACAACGAATAATAATGTTTACATACAGATTTCTTCGTAATTCCTGACACATATATAATCGAATTATAAACTATCAGTATTTTTTAATTACACAGTGTAAATTTATTGCACGACTTTAATTCATGTTAAACGATTCACTTGTAGCTTTATGTTCCCTTTTGTGTTGTTCTTCTTTCACAATGCCAGGTACGACGGGTATGAATCACAGAGAAAGCTTATACACTGTACTTGTTCTATCCAATTAAAAATTCATCGAATTTTACATATTCAATAATGATGTGACATTAAATCCGTATGATCGAATATTCTTCATTCAACCTATCCAGTGTTCATCTCAGGTTACCAATTTTCCTCCTTGAATAAATGATCAAGTATCAAATGTTATATCGTGTTTGTTCCGCGGAATAAGAGAACCTGCTAGAATCCAGCCTCCGCGAAGTACTACGTACACACCATGACTTAAATCGGAGGCGTAATTGCACTTAACCCGAATCAAAAATTTTCGTTCGACTCGTTAGCCCGTCGTGTTCATGTCATGTACGCATATCGTCCTCAATTAGTTCAACGATTACACAAGGACGAAGTTGTCGTTCGCAAGAAAGAACGTAAGAATAATCGTCTCGCCGGCGCTGTCGTTAATGCATTTGACAAGATCGACGATGATGGCGTGGTATCGGCACGCATTGGCACATATATTTATGGAATTTTCGTGTTCACGAATAGGCTGTGAGCGTTGCACTTTAGCTTGTGACTACTTGTTGCATAATGCATCGATCTCGGTGACCTAACCCAACTATGCAACGTCTTTTCATTGCACGCGCGTGTACTCGCGTGCGCCCGTGAAAACCGCCATGTCGTGTATCACACCCGGTATATACTACATATGTATGTGTTCCAACGTATGGAACATCGATATCATTTCGTTCCTTTCATTCAACAATATGGACTTCCCATCGGCCTTGTGTTAATTTCGTCACGAATAATCGATAATACAGGTGGCGTGTTAATTCTAAATACTAGGGTCGATTCGACTTATCAACTATGCCACTCTTTATATTCGGCGAATCGTGAAAATGGAATTGATTTTCACGCAACATGCGAGACGCTCGTTCGTTCGCTTGTTAACCGTATCTTCGATTAATTTCCTCTACGTTCTTTCGCGTGTCTAATTTCATTTTATTCTTTCCTACTTCTTTCAACTGGTTCACGTTAATTATTCAAACGTGAAATTTAATCGTCTCTCTTTCTCTTTCACTGATTTTCCACGTGAAACGTTTTTAAAGCCGTTTCAAGTGGATAGAACAGATTATTCCAGCGATTGATCGATTTCGACGTTAAACCGCGGTGCGTGCATGCGTGCTTGCATACGTGCATCGTTCGACTTGAACGACAGAAACGCGGAATTTGAATTTTCTTCTCACGTGAGCCGCATATGTCGCTGAACGTTCGCCAGCTTTTCATTTCGTTTGTCCCAATTTCATAGGTTTATTTCTGTGAAGAATGGGAACTGGCGTTTTTGTTTCTTCGTCTCTCCCTCGCTCTAGCTCGTCTCTCAACCACAGATTTATACCGGTCTCGTAAAAATTCACTTGGCAAAAATTCCAGCGTCGATCGTAAAGTTATTTCCTGGCGGATAGCTCGTTTAAATGAATCGTGCCAATTGATCGTATCATGGACTACTTTGAAAACGGTCTGTACAATTTCCCGAGAAATTCTTTTCGATTTCATAACTCGTCGAAGATCTGTACACACGAGTGAAGGCATCAAAGAAATTCATATTATTCGAAAATTCGAGGAAAACGTATTGGAAAAAAATTGGAAGAATTTCGTTTCGTTGGTTACGCGATATCCGTTCGATTTTCTCTATCAATTTCGAGCTCTGTTTATTTACATCAACAGGTAGCTCGATATTCGTAAAGGGACGATGAGCGTTACGTGGAATCACGTGAGTCGAACAGATGTCTTCAAAGGCAACCTGTTTCGCAGTAATTTGTAGATACATGATCTCGTTGACAACCGAAAGGTTCACTCGGTGCCAATTACAAATACGTGATTTGGAATGGTGCCTGTATGCGTGATTAAAATGCGATTCGCCAGGCGTCGTGTTTCCAACACGATGGTGTTCGCTGGTGATAATGTACTCGACAAAATCGCTGTAATAACCGCGTGTATCTTGATAGTAGAATCGTGTACTTTTCTTTGCTTTTCTCTTTTCTTATATGTACATTTTAACTGTTTTATATACATTGTATACCTTTATATGTGACACGAACAAGAGAAGAAATAAGAGTGTATACACGATGCTACTGACATTCTATCTAGCGTGTCTTTCTCGTTTTTGCAAGCGACACGACGTTATAACGTAAGAATGGAAACAATGACTTCCCGCAGTTGCCGCCTATTATCGACGATCGTTTTTCAGCGAGCGACATTGATGAGAACGATTGTCAGAAGAGATAAATGATATATATCTAACGAAATAACTGACCGATACGATTGTATCCTAGTTTCGTTATTTCCGATATGATTAGATATGGCAGAATATTCGATAGAAGGTTTCTGTGCCGATTGTACTGTGAAATATTAAAAACCACCAGGCTTTCGTTTCTGTTACATTGCACGCAAAAGCAACGATTCCTTTCCACACGATTTTACTATGTATTAAAATATACAAAAGAAAAATCCTTATCATATACATCAGCTGTATCTCACGGAAAAATCGTTTTTTATCGCACCTCGTCTCTTATTCTGTTTTTTCTTTCATTTTTTTTTTTTTTAATTCACTCGCTGATCTGACGATAGGAAGGATATAAAAGCTCATTTCGAAGAGGGTGTGGCGTCACGTGCGTCCTATCGACGGATCAACGTCGTTGCCGATGGCAAACACGAAAGCTTGACCTGTACATCGTAAATAAACGATCACCCATACATCTATCGGAGTACGCACCCAATGATGGGAAGGGCTGCTCCTCCATGTTAGGTATATCATTTCCTCGACTTAGCTGCTTTTATTCGACGACTGAAAAACCACAGCTACGCCCATCGTTCAGTTACACGGTTCACGCGATTTTTCAACCATTTCGTAATTTTCTTTCTGTGTGTTAGCACAACTTAAATAAACGTAACACACGATAGGCTATTAACCAAAATGTATTATTTTCTAAATGTAAGCGGCTGCTAAGGTACTCGGGTGTCCGTCTCGCTCGACGACTACATTAAGAGTGACCTCTCCGCGTCCTATCCTGCGTTGCTCCGAAAAACCGTTGGAGCCCCCCCTCGTTCGACTTTTTGAGGAAAGGGCTTAGTTTATGGTACCCTCAGGTACCCGTGCGCTTTCTCTTCCTGGGTGACAAAATCCAGGCCACCACTTCGCCGCCGAAATCTCGCATTTCTTACATGTGTTAATGTATCGTATTCCTCTTTTCTATGAAAGACGTAACTGTCTTTTTTTAAACGAACGTTGCGATTGGTCGAAACGGTGGTGCAGAATGTGTTAGGTTATGAAT